TGGGAAAGATATTTTACATCACAATGTCCAGTTATTCCGGAAACATCAAGATTCTGTAAATTCTGCAGAGATTTAAACCCCCCACCAAATTTGAAATTGAAAGGTAAATCCATCTTCAATATTTTTAATGATTGAAGTTTTGAAAAAGCTTTACCTATGCCAGATGCATTTGAAAATGTCTTTGAGTTGTTCTTGATATTCAAAACCTGTAATCGGTCAAGATGAAAAAATAACTCAGGATAATAGTTTTCTTCAGAAAGGACAATTTTGTTGTCCTCTAGATTAAGATATTTCAAAAATTGTAGTTTTCCGAATGGTTTTCCGGAGAGGGACGAAACTGCATTTTGCGATATATCAATGTGCCTGATTTTCTTTGGAAATCTCCATTTTATCGTTTTGATGTTGTTTCTTCTTAGATCTACCCACACAGTCTCTTCCGGGAAAGAAGTTATGTTGGGTGCCATGCCGAGTCGCCCAGCGCAGTCAATTTTTAATCCTGCTTTAAAATATCCACATTTGCAAACTTCACATATGTTATCATGACATTCAATGTATGATATCCAGAGAATGGAATAAAACACAAATAACCACTGATACAAGGCCATTATGTATTTTCAAATTATTCCTTTCGTCCCTGTATAACTTACTGAATTGTTATGCACCATACACTTAATGCCTACGTCATAGAAATTTACCATTTCCCGCACACACCTTTAATTTCGTTTAAGGAAGGATTTTTCGAAGCTTTATGGGAAGGGTACTTCTTTCAAATGTAAGATACCAGTATTTATTTTTTAAAAATTGCAAGATAATATCTTCTTCCTTGTTGGTTTAAATGAATAATCTGACAGAAGAATACAAATTTAAAGGCATTGCAGTGAACCATCTTTCGTTTAATTCAACACATGCAAAAGAGTCAAACGAAAAGGAAAGGCTATCTCGATCAGTAATTTTTTAAAGGTACAACACACAAATCCTATAAAGGTACAACAAACAAATCCTTTAAAGGTACAACAAACAAATCATTTTAAAAATCTTTAGTTGGACACTAATGGTTTATTAAAAAGGGATAAAAGACCGCAGATTGTCCGATTAAAAGTCATCCAGAAAAAAACACCTATAAATTCGCATATCTATAAATTTGTTCTCATTATCTTTATTTCCAAGTTTAATGGCTAGACTTTCTTTTATCAAGACGAACAGTGGAGTCAAAACTTTAAGAATTGAAATCAAATTTCAACACGAAATTATTCAGGTACTCTGATCCTCCGCCAGGAAGGATAACTCTTAAATCTATCATTTTATTCAAAAAGTCTCAGAATGAAGCTTGAAAATTTAAATTTTTTATGCAAAACTTTTATTCAATGTACTGGAAAAGTATTTCAGTATTACGTATTCAAAGAAATTGATGTTCATTATAATCTAACAATAGATACCAATGTGTTTTAACATGGTACAGAATAAGAAATGATTATTGGTATTTTGCAATGATATAAATATCTTTATACACTATGCATTGCAAAATGATCGTAGTAAATAGATGAAAGTAAAGCACCTTAGATGTTTATGTATAAAATACGTGTAATTTCTTCACAAGCCAGAAAACCTAGGATTTTTATTTTTAAAATGTAAAAATTTAAAAATTGGAAAAAGCACACTAGGTGTTTTTATTGGCCTTTTTTCCAAAAAATAATTTGATATTTACCAATTTTCCATATATGAAAGGATTAACTTTAAAGATTAAATTAAATTTTGAAGAATTACACTGTATAGTGGGTAAAACACGTTACTTTTAGAATTCAGAGACATTTTTGTGGGCATTTTAAATCAGTCAATGCCTTCTTTTGAGAACCCGAGGATCGGAGTACCTTAACAATGGTACCGTCGGGTTATTATGAGGGACACTCAACATTCAAATTTGAGAATCGTGACATGATAAGTATTTAAATAAAAAATACACTTTGGGTAAGTGATTGTTTTACACAATAGATAAACGTTTTGATAAATTTATTTTTCTCGTGTTTATCTTATAAACTCTTCATTTTTTCAATGGAGATCATTATAGGCTTTCAAAAAGAAACAGAATGATGAAATGACGAAATTAAACATATGCTTCCATTTTCTTTGAATTGAAAAGCAAATTGGTTCCCGATCAAGTTGTTTACTTAATGAGTCGCTTACTAAATTGTCATATATCTTCTGTCTGTATTGCTTTTGACTGCATAAACTGTTTGTAAGTTTACAAGAACATGGTAATACATGTACGTTATTCAATATTGTTATAAAATTCATTTGAAAAATTTCCTTAAAAGAAGGATATGGAGATAACTAACAGTATTTAGTCTCAAAGTCCATAAAACAATACAAAATCAGAGCAGAGCAAACACGGACCCCCGAAACATCAGAGGTGGGAACAGGTGCCATGGAGGAGTGAGCATCCCCTGCAGACCGGTCACACCCGCTGTGTGCTACTTGTCATGATCAGGAAATTACAGAAAAATTTGTCGTCAATTCAGTGTATAAATAATGGACGAACAATTGGTATGAAAAAAGTCGGTCAGCATTTTACTCAATGAGAAATTGTATTTCCTGACAAGGTCATTGTATCTACCATAGAACTTACGAAATAATGACTTTAAACGAGACTGTTGATATTCTTGTTTCATCAACTTGCATGTCAATAATTTACCTCGTTTTTAGAAATTGTCCATACATAGAGCATGCTCCTGCGTATCGAATCAACTCAACGGAGATATATACTCCATATGCAGGTGATGAAGGTAATAAAAGGTGATAAAAAGAAAGACTTAATAATAAAAGAAATCGGGTTGTTTTTTTTCATTCTTTTATCAAAAATTCAAATGACTATTATCTACTGTATATAGAGTTATTTTTCGACCCCTGTTCCTATAATTTCGCTTTTTTATCACTAAAATTAAAGTTTGAATTGTTGACATGTGTCTTTCCTTGGATACAAATGTCAAATCTATAAATGCTACAAAGTTTTCATTTTAATTATGAGCAACAACACTGGAAAAGTCATTCCAAAATATATCCAGTTCTGCCATTGATTCCTCAGAAGGATAATGACAAAAAAGGTTTTCATTGATCAAATCCTTCAGGGAATTCGGACATTTTCGCTTTAAATCGTAGGCTCCTGGAAGAATTATTAAATACACGTAATGGAGTCCTCCTCTCTTTTTTATACCCTCGAGTTTTGCCATATTTAGTTCGTAATCCCTCCATCCAGACTTTAGATAAGATTCCGAAACAACACAGACTGTCATTTTGCTGCTCTCTATCGCGTCCATTATATTGTCAGCTTTATGACGACCTGCTAAAAAGTCTCTCTCACGAATGCAGACGTCAAGGTTTAAATCTTGTAATTTCAACAGAAGTTTATTCATAACAAGTTCTCGATCCCGGGCAGAATATGAAATAAATATGTCATAACTGAAGTTCAATCGGTTTCTCTGATATAATATTTGCATATATCGACCACCTGTCTTCACTTTTTGCTTACATTGATATATGGTAAATCTTATTGTCCAAATATTTCTTTTCACTAACATAGCGATGACCACGAAAACTAGAATGGTCAAGACTATGGATGCAACAATGTAGAATGTGGTATAAGATCGGCATTCCACTACCAAAGATTTAAGAGATGTGACAGGATCGCTGAAATTGAAATTTTTCTGACTCTTTATGGCACATTCGTAGTCATCAAACCTTTCGAAATTTTCTTTATGTTTAACCATCCACTGGATGTATGGAACATTTTCACACGAGCAGTCAACGTTATTCCCAGATAGATCTATGGACGTGTTTTTCAGCCTTATCAAATCAGTCAGTTCCTGTCTGATTTCATCCCTGATAGAATCTATTCTATTTTCAGATAAATCAAGATGTTCTAAGTGATGCATATGTTTAACGCCGACATTCAACTCAGAAAGTTGATTATTGTTAAGAATCAATGCCCCGATATTCCGAGATCTTTTCAAAAGTAAATACGGCAAATGATAAATCTTATTGGAGCTTAAGTCCAATGTTTCCACCGAAACCAAGTTTCTAAATATAAGTCCATTCTTGTCTCTCTCCAGATTATCTCCAACCGAGTTTCTAGAAATATTGAGACGTAAAAGTCCTGATGCGTTAACAAAGAAATTGGATGACAGTTTTGTGCAGAAATTATTCGAGAGATCAATAAGAGTTACGTTTTGTATCCCGTACATTGGTCCTATCCATTCATTCAATACATTATTTTGAAAGAACATGTGCCTCAGTTTCGGTGCAATAAGACCAAACTGAGATATCTTGGAATACTGCCTACTATCATTAACATAAATTGTTTGGAGATTTTCAGGAATATGTACATATATAACTGGTCTCCAGTGAGAAACTTCAATCCTGCAGAAATTTCTAAAGTTGTGAAGAAAGGTTGAGAAATTTGTAGAATGACTGTATTGAAATGTTAAATGGTTCCGGATCATCTTGATTTTCCTTTCAAAGCTCGAAGACTGCAGTAACGTATTCCGGTGGCTAAAACTGTAGATTGATATTAAACATAGTCAAATTATGAAATCCAATAAAATCAGCTATGTATGGAACTTGTAATAGTTTATTCTCAGCCAATGATAATCTTCGGAGAGTTGGCGGTAAATATTGTACAAGGCATCTTTCGAACAGTTCCAATCTATTTCTGGATATAATGATATCTTCTGACTTAGTGTCTCTCAAGTTCCTGACATGGCGAATTAAAAGTCTTTTACCTAATCCCGTCAAACAATTAATGTTATGTAAATTAAGTCTTTTGATTGACGTTCACTTTAGATTGTATGTTATATTGGGGAGTGAAGCAAAACCTAATTCTTTGTTGTAGGAAATGCCCAACGATTTCAAATTCCTTAAAAATTCGAATGACCCTCTCTCGATATGTTTGATTTTACAAGACGATATATCTAGATGTTGAAGATATGGGGTGTTGAGAAAAAAAGTTGTGTGTGATTTTCACAGTTTCACAATGTCCTCTTGAAGCGGAGATGTCCAATAGACTAAGATTCTTCAGTCTGTAAAATCCTTCTGAAAGTAAAAAGTTGTCTATTGCATCCAATTGTAATTCCTCTAACAAAATCAATTCACTGAGAATTTCTCCAGTATAACTCCAGTTTCCTTGCATCTTTACAGAATTGTTTTTCAGGTTCAGAACTACCAAGGATTCTAAAGACTGAAAAAGTTCTGGAAATAAATTATTCTCACTCAAACTTAGTTTATTACTGGATAGATCCAAATACTTTAGCCTCGGGATAATGTCAAAAGGATTACCTTTAAGGGAATATATGCTGTTGAGATCCAAATACAATTGGGGTTTCTATTTTAATCCATTTCTTAAAAATTACCACAGAAAAGAAGAATAATATTACTATATTGACAATAATGGATGATCCCTGTAAGAAAAATAAAACGTTTAGGCATGTTTGCGTCATATTTTGTGAAAAAATCAGAGAATCCTATATATTGGTCACTTGGGGGCTTACATTTTGGAATGTTTTTATGCTAACTAAGTGTAATAAACAAGGATGTGACAGTCTTATAAAATGCAGTGGTACTTTTGTCCCATACATAGTAGAAGAATGATATTTGGACATATATATTAGGAGTCTCCATTCTTTATGTACTACTAAGGTCAAGGTCATATCAAGAGGTCAAAGGTCAAATATTGTGACGTCATCTACTGAATCTTTAAGTTTTTTGCCATTGAAATTTTTTTGGTCGCAAAAATATCTGAAACCACCGCTTCAATTTTCTTTATTTTTACACATTTTATTCTAGGACCCATTTGAATCATTCTGTTGATTTTTTGTAAGAATTGAATCATACATTTTCTCTTAAGAAAACTTAAACTGTCGGATATTTACCTGTGAATTTTCAATTCCGACGCTACATATGATCTATTTTAATTAATATTTTATTCATATTTTCCATTATCAAGTTGACTTACTAACTTAAAGCAACAAAAAGGATATCTTTATATTGCAAGTATTACACAAATTTGCAACAGATCAATCGATAATTCTAAAATAAGGCTCGTTCTCAAGTCTAATGTCTGATTTCACAATCTTTTTACAGGGGTCTGATAGGCTATATTTCAGACTATGTGGGCAAAACATGTGCGGTTGAATTTATTTCATATCATATATAGAGAGAGAGATTTTGTATCCTAGAACAAAATATCAAAGTTTCAGGAAAATTAAATATGAGGAAAAATTCGGCCTATCTATTGTGTCCTACCTTAATGGACCCTTTGTCGAATTCCACACATTTTGAGGATGCCTCTCTGAAATTGCAGGGTTTCCATTCATCAGAGTCTTCACGATCGGAACTAACTCCATACAGAGAACAAGTAACAAGCAATGCATAAAAAGTGCATGATGTTTGGAAGACACGGTAAATACCAAACTTGGCCATATTGTTTATCTTTATGTCAACTGCATAAGCCTTGGAAGTAAAAATAAGCTTTATCTTTAAAAATAACCAACACGGAAGTTAAAAGCGATGAATGGGAAAAACACCCTCATTGATTGTATATTGTATATTGTTTAACTCCCTCTCGAGAATTTTTCACTCATTTGAAGACATCACCGTATGCCGGTGAAGGGCTTCAAATTCTGACCTTTACTCGGCACTCAGGGCCATTGAGCAGTGAGAGATCTCTATCGTGCCAACGCCTACCGATGACACGGGGTCTCGGTTTTTAAGGTCTCATCCGAAAGACCGGCAACTTTCACTTCAAAGTGCCGAGCGCATGGCGAAGGAACAGTTGCTACCCATTTTTTTATCGACTTAGGTCAGTCGCGGCCGAGATACGAACTCACGACCTCCGATCACGGAGCAAGTGCTCTACCGACTGAGCTACCGTGAACGCTCAGCCTCATTGAAATTTGGGATTAAAGGTCGTTTTTAAAGTATTCATCGAACGCTAGCACTTCAATGAATATCTAAACATTAAAATCACATTCCAGAGAATTCATTGGAGTCTGCTAGGCATAACGTATTTGCGTCTCATTATAGTCAACCCATAAGATATATAACTACGATTTACCAAAGGTGGTAAGATAGGGGAAAATATAATTTTAAAAAAATTGCATTACCCATTTCATGTTTTTTAGAAAAAAAAGAGAAGGAAATATATTGAGAATTCTCTGAACACTACATATTTCAGAATAGAAATATTAATTTGTTGCTATTTTTTGGACAGATCGATTAAAATTTCATGAGATCGAAAGCAAAATAGATTTTATTTTAAATTTATTTTTCTCAATACGTTATGTTATATTTGAATAGGAGAACATATTAATTCGCATGTATTTATCCCTATTACGGGAACAACGGTTATATCTAATCATCAGAACTTAAGTGCCTTTGAACATGGTTTCTGGAAGTATATGCCGGGTTTAATGGGTTGAAAATGAATATCATATCTTTTGTAAAAAAAAAAATCAAAGCCAAAAAATTATAATAATTTCAAAAGAAATATAAAATTTTACGATTTCTGGAAAGCCAATTTGTCTCAGTTAATATTGCAGTCATATGATATTATAATAACATCTTGTAAAATCAGTGGAAAAGTGCCTCAATTTTGGCATACAAAAATTCCTTCATTTCCTTGAAATATACAGTGTATCTAACAATTGCTGCATACTGTATATCAGAATCTAGAACGCACAACTATCAATATATTTTTTGTGTTCATTTATTTTCTATAAACATATACATTAATGTATTTATTGTGTCGACTCATTTCTTGGTGGTTATTTTTGTCTTTGAAATAATGCTAGATGTAAGTCAAATATTATATGATATTTGCACTTAGAATGTACATGACATTTACATAATTATTTTAAAATACGTAAGACAATAATGTAATGTGATAATAAATCAAAACATTTTGAACTCAGATGAGAAGAATTTCACAGACGTTTTATTGCATTTCATTATATTACTAATATGAAGTAGTTATATATTTCAAAATTTAAGTCAGGGATTAAAATATTCAAATATGATCAGGTTAATCTGAATGTAAAATACCCCGGTATTGAATATTTTAAATTGCAAACATAATAACCATCCATTTATGTAGAACATCCCTTTACTAAATCATGATGTGGAGGTTGAAACACAAAATGCTTTAGTTTTTCTTCCTATTATCATCACGTGTTCTTGATAATACGAGTAAGATTTTCCCAAATTCCTCCTGCAGGGATGAATTTCAAGGAAATATTTTTCCTCGATAAAATCTTTTATAGCTGTGTCACAGCCCCCTTCAAACAAATCAGGCATCAGAATAAGACGGACATATCCAAGGGATGCTCTTTCCTTTAAACCTTCCATTTTCGCCATATTTAATTCATATGTTCGCCATTTTGATTTCAGATACGCTTTCGACACAACGCAGATAGTGCTTTTACTCCTCCCGATTGCTTTCATGATGTTATCAATTTTAGAATTACCAACTATCAATATATTTTTTGTGTTCATTTATTTTCTATAAACATATACATTAATGTATTTATTGTGTCGACTCATTTCTTGGTGGTTATTTTTGTCTTTGAAATAATGCTAGATGTAAAAATATTATATGATATTTGCACTTAGAATACATGACATTTACATAATTATTTTAAAATACGTAAGACAATAATGTAATGTGATAATAAATCAAAACATTTTGAACTCAGATGAGAAGAATTTCACAGTTTTTATTGCATTTCATTATATTACTAATATGAAGTAGTTATATATTTCAAAATTTAAGTCAGGGATTAAAATATTCAAATATGATCAGGTTAATCTGAATGTAAAATACCCCGGTATTGAATATTTTAAATTGCAAACATAATAACCATCCATTTATGTAAACATTTTTTACTAAATCATGATGTGGAGTTTAAAACGCACAAAATGCTTTAGTTTTTCTTCCTATTATTATCACGTGTTCTTGATAATACGAGTAAGATTTTCCCAGAATTCCTCTTGCAGGGATGAATCGTCCGGTGGATAGTCAAGGAAAAATTTTTCCACGATAAAATCTTTTATAGCTGTGTCACAGCCCCCTTCAAACAAATCAGGCATCAGAATAAGACGGACATATCCAAGGGATGCTCTTTCCTTTAAACCTTCCATTTTCGCCATATTTAATTCATATGTTCGCCATTTTGATTTCAGATACGCTTTCGACACAACGCAGATAGTGCTTTTACTCATTGCTTTCATGATGTTATCAATTTTAGAATTACCAACTATCAATATATTTTTTGTGTTCATTTATTTTCTATAAACATATACATTAATGTATTTATTGTGTCGACTCATTTCTTGGTGGTTATTTTTGTCTTTGAAATAATGCTAGATGTAAGTCAAATATTATATGATATTTGCACTTAGAATGTACATGACATTTACATAATTATTTTAAAATACGTAAGACAATAATGTAATGTGATAATAAATCAAAACATTTTGAACTCAGATGAGAAGAATTTCACAGACGTTTTATTGCATTTCATTATATTACTAATATGAAGTAGTTATATATTTCAAAATTTAAGTCAGGGATTAAAATATTCAAATATGATCAGGTTAATCTGAATGTAAAATACCCCGGTATTGAATATTTTAAATTGCAAACATAATAACCATCCATTTATGTAGAACATCCCTTTACTAAATCATGATGTGGAGGTTGAAACGCACAAAATGCTTTAGTTTTTCTTCCTATTATCATCACGTGTTCTTGATAATACGAGTAAGATTTTCCCAGAATTCCTCCTGCAGGGATGAATCTTCCGGTGGATAGTCAAGGAAATATTTTTCCTCGATAAAATCTTTTATAGCTGTGTCACAGCCCCCTTCAAACAAATCAGGCATCAGAATAAGACGGACATATCCAAGGGATGCTCTTTCCTTTAAACCTTCCATTTTCGCCATATTTAATTCATATGTTCGCCATTTTGATTTCAGATACGCTTTCGACACAACGCAGATAGTGCTTTTACTCCTCCCGATTGCTTTCATGATGTTATCAATTTTAGAATTACCAATTTCGAAGTGAATATCACGAATTAATAGCCTCAAACCTTTTGCCTCCAGCTTTGGTTTCATTTTTTGGAATATAAATCCCCTATTCTCGCCTACATAGGATATAAATGCATGGTAAAAATATTGCCGTTGTCCTTGCTTCCTTCCATATGCACTTGTTCTTTCGAAGCTTTCATCAGCTATTGAACTTAGCAAAACAGGTTCTGTTCGCAGATTATAAAGTTCCT